ACCTCGATGTGAATTTTGATTGATTTCGTGTGGAATGGTCGTTAAGTGAGTTAATGTAAGATAAGTGCGATCATAAAATGCAGATTAATTAATATTATGATTCATAATATTCATAATTTATGAATAACAAGACAGTTTTGAATTTGTCACAAGTGTCAAAGTGCAATGATGCCATTTGAATAGCAAGATAGCGTCATGGATAAGATTACTTCGATGTCATTGTCTTGAACGCCATGTAATAGGTGAGGCCCACTTTGACAAACTGAAAATAATAAGGTTGTCTTAAAACTTGATGAAATGAAATTCAATTTAGAAAAAAAATTGAATCCTTATTCACTTACACTAGTGAATGTTCTCAAGTTCAAAACAGCCACACCGAATCCATGATCTGAAATCAATGTAGTTGTTGATTCAATATTATGTCGTCCATATTCGAGACACATTTACTTAAAAAAAAACTGTAACTTACAGTAAACTGGAATTTGAACATTGGCGATCATAATGATGAAGTATTTTTGCAATCGAGTTGGGAGTTGGATCCAATTTGAATAATACAAGCAATCGGTCATTTTATCGAAACTTTCCGTGGCCAATTTTCCAAAATAGCAAAAGAAGAACAGATTTGCTACACCAACCAAACCACAGGACACAAGCAAACCGACACTAAAATCCATGCGCTTGAGTTGCTGAAATTGTAAAATTGAATTGAGTATAAATTTGAATTTATTTTTGGTCAATATCGTTTTGAATGATTGAAAAGAATGTAACAGAAAGAGTTCAATTAAAAAATCGAGTAAAATTTATGTCAAAATCTGAAAGGAATGAAAAATTACCAAATCTAATTGAAAGATGACACAGGTCATTGAGATCATGCTACAAATCAGTTGAATCAAAATGAATGAGCTGTATACCTTGGCTGATTCCAGAAACCAACTAGGAAATTCATATAAAATATAATCGAAACAGGATTTAGCAGAGTGAAACCATAAATCTTGAAAAAAAAATCTCTCAATTTACGAGTAATCAGAGTCTAACTAGATGAAACTTACTCTTTTACAACAATATGAAAACGCACTAAATCGGAAACGATCTCTTCATTATCTCGATTCTCAGTCGGTCGATCCAATTTACGCGTTAATTCACGGAATATTTCATAGAATGCCGCGTGATGCCAGCTCATGGACATGAACAGACAAAGAACTGAACCCGTTGCAACAATGAATACTTCACAAAGAAAAGTTCCATAAAATACCTCTGCCAGATAGCCCCACAGTGTGGACTGATCCCATGGTAGTCTAGATGGGACGAAATTCAATTTTAAACAAACGCAAACATTGAAAATGGGAAGAAAAAAAATCAATGTTGAAAGAAAATAGAAAGTCATAACGAAATTCCTGAAACTTACAACACTTTGAACGGATGATACAGATATTTCACATCGAAACCTAGATCTCTTATCCAACAGAGGAAGGCTGGCACTGCGCACATTGAAACATTGTTTACCAAATAACCAAATACAGCAAATTTGAAGAAGAAAAGCCAAACCCATTCACTTTTGTCGTTTGCTTGCACCAAATATCGGAAATGCGGCTGATTTTTATCTAATTGGAAACAATATTTCGGTTAAATATTCCATATTTTGTGTTGAAAGCATTTGAAGAAAGGACAAATCACTTACTTGCATCGTAAATATCCGACAATTGTACAAAAATACCAGCGATTTCATATCGCAAGAGGGTCGCAGCAATTTGAATGTAAACAATGGCCGAGTGCGCGACGATATGGAGCAATGCATACAAGCATCGCTCCAAATCGGTCACTATAAACTTATGGATGAAAGCTATTGCGCCAACTACGGCGCTGAGATTGAAGAAAAATGTGATGAAAGTGAAAATGATACTGGCTGCTTTCACGATCCAACTGGTGTCCTTGTCGAACGGGTACATGCAAAGCGAAGTTAACACTAGTCTATTCATTACCATCGGCTCCATTTTAAAATCACAAAAATCGCGGTTCAATTAAATGAAAATCGGTTTCAACTTTTGTTTGTTTTAGATTCTGTTTTTCGATTAAGAAAGACAATCTTCAGCTTGATGTCAACTTTATGGGTGACGCTCAAGTTTCAAATCGCAACCAATACTCAATTGAAAGGAACCTGAATGAATGTGAATAAAAGGCTACTTGAAGAGCTTTTTATTGCAGAAACGACTCATATAAAATTGGGCGTTTGGATTTTGTTGGTAATTTTGATTGTATGGCTTTACTTTGAGGTGTTTTAATATCTATCATTAATTCTCATTTCTTCCGAGCGAGTTGTATCATTTTAATTATGCTTGCTCAATGTTTGATTGATCACACATGTGATAGGAAAATTAAATAAACACAATTGAACTCCAAGAAACTGATTCTTTTCCAAGAAGTTGATGAAATAATAAGTCATTACTACAGTAGGTATTTCCGATATAACCATAAAAAATAATAATTTCAATACCGATTATACTTTTTGGTACAGTGTGTACTGTGTATAATATACACTGTATATTATTATAAATACTTTTAATAATAAAACGAATTACATACGTAATCCAAACTTTTCCGCTCCGCGGCAATTTGGTTTACCTCCCGCTTAGTATTTAACCAAAATTTCAATAAAAACTCTTTTCATAGCACTTCTGAGCTGGAAAAATAACTATTTTGACCATTTTCCATATAAAAATGTCATTTTCGAACAGAACTTCAAAAATTTCAAGAAATGTCGGTTTTGGACCAAATTTATGGGCAAGTAGGTGCTTGGTTGTTCGAAGGTTCCAATTATTTTTGCAAAAAAACATCAGTTTGCCTTGACCGAAACTCTAAAAAATGGCTTTCTGAGTGATTTTTCATACGAAAGTGTATTTTTCGGAGAAAATTTCAAGAAATGTCAATTTCAGGCCAAATTTATGGGGAAATATGTATTCGGTTGTTCACAGACCCCATTATTTTTGCAAAAAAATGGCAGTTTGCCTTGATCAAAACCCTGAAAAATGCTTCTTTCGGGAACTTCCCGTACAAAAGTGTCATTTTTCAAGGTTTTTCAGGTCCTCAGGAGGCTTATGGTACGAAATTGGTAAATCAGAATGGGCTTAAAACCAATCCGAAGCTTTGTCTCGACATTCCAAAACTTTTGGCTTTTACAGATCTCAATTATCTTGTCAACTTTTTGAGATAATCGGCGAACAAAAAGCTCGGACGCAAACGCGAACGCGGACGCGAACGACGCCATACGCACATCGCTATTTTGCACATATTTCATAGTAAACAACATGTTTTTGGGGGTAGATAGGTCTTGATCGATAGGATTTCATCCCATCTACATTGCCTAGTGTACAGATATGTGCTTTTTCAAGTTTGGCGTGACGTTATAGTGGTCCGAAAAAGGAGATGTCATGAAATTTTGGCTAGTAAAACCAATACTTTACCTAACAAACAAAGTTTGCGGAAAAGTAAAAATGCTATTACCCTGTATAATACAGGCTGTATTTATTTCTCAATTTCCATTTCAATGAAAAACTTCCTAAATAATTTAATTTTATGTTTGTTGTTTACAGAATCATTCACACTGACGGGTTCAGTTCAAATTATATGCTTCGATGTTGATTGAAGTGCGGAAGTGATAATGCTATGCTTGAGCCTATGCTTGGACTTGAGAATATGGCCATGAATGTCTTTTTTGGATTGTCACAAAATTCAGTGTCATCAATGCAAAGAAGTGTAAACAATTGTTTATCAATTTTTAATTTAATATTTGTTACTTCTGGACTTTCGTGGAAACGCGTTTATCAAAGTTTTATGTGTGGAACAGTATTTTATTTGCATATATGGTATATTGACATTGACAACCTCCAGTAGACTTAATATTTGATGACGTTACATTCCGGCGATGTTTGTATTAAATTCAAGGTTGAATTTCGTCGATGGAAAAATACTGAAATTGTTTTTTTATAGATTTTTTATATAATTTTATGGCTCATGGATAGGATACTTGAATAAAATTTTATCTATTGTCTTTTTTTTAAAGCTAGATTTACACTACATAGAATTGAATTTCAGATAACGCGTCTATGCTTGAGAGCGTTGGACCGGTCTGGCAACAATCAAAATCTAGGACTATTATCAATGATTGAGTAGAATGCGCAATGCCAATCTTTGAAAATGGACATTGAATGAAAATCTTTTTTTGTGTGCAAATAGAGTTTATTTTATAGAAGAACAGACAGCTTTCTGTCTAAAATTTCTCAATCTCTTTCATAGTGATGTAATTTTTGTCCAATAATTCACTCAGCGACATCATCAAAATCATATGATATTAGATCCACATCGTTTGGCTTAACGTTTTCACCTCGTTCGCTGTGTTCAATGATCGCCTTCAAAGTATTCATTTTATCTGTAAGATATTCGCCATTAGTATTTTCAGAAAGTTATGATTAGTTCAGTTGTATTTGTTTCAATTTTAAATTCATTTTATCAACATTACTTCGTAATGATTCCAATTTCAAAGACTCGGACGCATCCCATTCCATGTTTGTTCTAACCTCAGCACCATTTTCACGCAAGATTTGCGCAATTTCTTTTTGATCTAACGGTCATGAGAATATATACGAAAATTGAAGATGATCAAAAACTCAAGTAAATTGTTAATTTCTTCAAAAATGAGTTCTTGAAAAATGTTTAAATCGGAAACAGTACAACACTACGAAATGTTCATTATGAATTCAAGCCAACCTTTGATAAACGCAATGTCATGCGGTGTCCGATTAAGTAGATCTCTGGCATTAACATCAGCTCCATGTTCGATAAGCATTTTCACGATATCCTCTTTGCCTAAAACATGACATATTGATTCATTGGCTGTCAAAATGTTCTTTCAGAAAAAGCAAAATACCCTCAATTGTGGCCAGATGAAGTGGCGTCCATTTCGCTGCCAGCCAAACTTCAGCATTCACATCAGCACCATATTCGACAAGGATTTTAGCTGTTTCAATTGTTCCTAAATTACATAATGAATCATTTGAGTCAATCTTAATAACACTAACAAACAATTTGCCTAAATGATAAAAAAGATAAACCATTTTCAGCGGCTAAAGCTACATGTAAAGGTGTGTGTTCAAACACATCTCTAGCATCAACTTGTGCTCCTTTCTCAACCAAAAATTTCACAACATCTCGGTGACCTAAAAAATAAATTGATTCAGTTAAATTAAATGTCCAAACATCTGTTTTAGTGCATTTTCCTTCTCTGGTGGCAATGTGAACTGAAGTCTTTTTATGTAAAACCTTAGCATTTATATCAGCTCCACCTTCAATTAGGGCTTTGACAGCTTCAAGTTTACCTACGGAAAATTTTCAGAAATTTTAGAGAATTTTTCTTCTAAAAATTGTTTCAATTAATTTGACTAAATTGTGATTTCAAGCTTTAGAAATCGACACTGAAGATTGTGCTAGTGATTGTGTTCATTTGGTAAAACTACCTTTTGATTTATTTGTATGTGAATATTAAGAAAATACTAAAATATACCAGAACGTTTCTTTCACATTGATTTTTGTATTTCAAATTTAAACTCAGTAACCAGACATTTTGATTACCATAATGAGATGCAGTGTGTAAGGCAGTAAAATCAAGTCCGTCTCTAGCATCAACTTGTACCCCCTTGTCAATTAGAAGTTTCACAATTTTTGCTTCACCTAAAATGAAGATCGATGTTTTTTTGTCTTTAGAATTTTATTGCTTTGAAAATGGCATGCTAATTCTTGTTGAAACCTGATTTGGCTGCTAAATGAAGTGGTGATCTGTTGAAATATACTATGGCATTCTCGTCTGCTCCACCGTCAATCAGGACTTTAGCAGCTTCAAACTTGCCTACAATCGGTATTTGCAATTCAATAAAGAAATATATTCAACTCAAATCAATGAAATAAATTGATAGTTCCTTCAAGAAGAGATGGTTTATACAACCAAAAACGGCAGGCAAAAAAAACTTAAACAATTTTAAGTAAAAACTCGTGAGTGCCTTTTAATGCAGCGAGATGGAGGGCCGTGTATCCGAAAGTATCGACTTCGTCTAGTAAAGCTCCATGGTCTATGAGGATTTTGGCAGTTTTGGCTTGTCCTAGAATATCAATCGATTCAATTTCTCAGCGGAAATATTCATATGATGAATATGAAAGAATAAAGACAAGTTAATAAAAAGAATAAAAAAAAACAACAACAACAAAAACAAATAGGAAGAATGAACCAATCAAATAGTAGAATGCGATTGTAATCAATGCACATTGCACAACCTTCGTGAGAAGCCGCATGGAGTGCAGTTCGATTAAGATAATCCAGACCATTAACATCAGCCCCATTCGCAATGAGACGGCGAACCATTTCTTCGTTACCTAAAGTAAAAGTTCGATAGAAAAAGAATATGCATATTTATTATTTCTCTAAATCATATGCGATGTGAGATTTGCTAAACCGATTCAGTTGGATGAATTTACCCTTCTTAGCAGCCCAGTGAAGTGGAGTCAGAAACCATCCATCTCTGACGTTAGCTATAGCCCCATTATCGAGAAGCAATTTAGCGATGTCACTTTTACCTGAAATACGATCTGGACTCGTTTTCATTTGCTCTTGATAATCTTGAGTCCCGAAAAATCAATATTCTGAATTAAATCACACCCTAAATCTATTAGTGAGACGTAAAAGAACGCAAGTTTGTCCGTTCAACTTGGTCGGACGGACGGGCAACAGAATTTTTTGGGGGCTCTGAACGGACGGACGAACAGTGAAATTTCTGGGGATCCTGAACGGACGGACGCTAGGGGGATTTCTCACGAAAAAAATGAATGAATTCTTATAAATTTTGAAAAATTCTTCAATTCGGTCCGATTCGATCAATTTTTGTCAATTCGTGTAAATAAATGTACATTTACACTGAACTTTTGAATTATGCTTCAATGCAATTGTTCTGGAAGTGGGTTTTGGTGGATCTCAAGGATCGTTCAGAACTGCTCTCGGTTCTGGAAGTGGATCTTCAGGATGGGCCAGGGCAATGTCAAACCGGATCTGGTCCATCCTGAGTATCCACCAAAATCCACTTCCAGAATCGGGAGCAGTTCTGAACGATCCTGAGGATCCTCTAAAATCCACTTCCAGAACACTTTTATTCAAGCAAAATTGTCATTACAGTACATTTTCATACAATTTCAAAAAAAAAGAAGAAATAATAGAAATTTTTGTACATTTGCTCAAACTTTTTCTGTGAGAAATCCCCCTAGGACGGACGGACGGACAAAAAATTACGTTTTTCATTGATTTTTGGCGTAGAAAATACTAAAAAAAAATATTTAGTAACTGATTTGTAAGCAGCTTCCCCTTTGAAACACCTCAAACCCATTTTCACGTCAAAAATCAATGAAAATTTCTCCGTCCGTCCGTCCGTTCAGGACCCTCAGAAATTTTCTTGTCCGTCCGTCCGTTCAAAACTGCTAGACATTTTTTTCAGCGTTGATTGGACGGACAAGAAAATTTTCAAGAGCCCTGAACGGACGGACAGACGGACAAGGTGCTTGTCCGTTGACACCTTTAATTGCAACTACAAATAATGGTTAAAAGAAGGTATGTTTTTGGTGGGTCGTCGTGGTTTTGCACGGTTTCCGCGGAACTGATAAGAGATAACACCTTTGTATCTTCAGCAAAGTTGTAGTACTCAAGGTCTTCTATAACATTACTCAAGCTAGTTATCTCTTATCTCGTATCAGTTCCGCGGAAAGCGCGAAAAATGATAAGAAACAAATGTTCTATTCAAAATTTGCGATTTGCGCGCAACTAATAAGAGATAACTGTCTTCAGCAATGTTACCTCGAGTACTACAACTTTTCTCAAGACACCAAGTTGTTATCTCTCATCAGTTCCGCGGAAACCGTGAAAAACCGCGGAGGCTAGATGGTACTCCAACATACTTTCTTTTAACACAAATCAAATCAACATACTTTCTTTTTCTAAAAAAATATCGAGAGAAAAACATACATTCTTTTACGTCCCACGAATAGAAATGTTCCAAGTTTATGAATCTTAACATATGCAGATACGTTACCGAAATTCTATTTCAGTTCATATTTGGAATATTAACCTTCCTTAGTAGAAAGTACAAGCGGATATTCTCCATCACTGTATAGAACATTCAGGTTTACACCTTCTCTTATAAGCTTCGAAACTTCGGATGTTTGATCTGAATGAATGAATGAACTTTTAGAATATTTTCCTGCTCTCAATTCTGGAGAAACACTTATTTACTCTTTGCAATAAAAGTACGTAATTGATCCTCTTTGCTTGATGGAATTAACGTTGTGGGAATCCTATTGCAAAAAGTCTAATAAAATATCGTTTTTATTACTCCATTATTCAATATACAAACTTGATAGTATTGTCTCCATAACTAAGTTCGGTGACAGATTTCTCTGAATCGAATTCAGCTGCATCGACCACATCTGAATTTTTTTCATTTTTTTCAAAAACTTGTGCCGCAGTAACAATTTGGAAGTAGAGGACAAATGCTAAGAATAACTTCATCTTGTTAAATTTCACGAAAATTCGCTGTTTTTTCGTCGTGTGAACGAATTTAGCTTGACTGATGATGCTCAAATTATCACGCTGAAATATATACCAATTGTACTTTTTCTAGAATTCTCAAACTTTCAACAAAAAAAAAATTTAAAAATTCAAATCACATCTCAAATAGATACCTTGTCTCACTCAACTTCTTCTACTTCTCTTATACCGATCCGAGTAAAGAGAGACAATGACGAGAACTGAAAGAAGATCTTATACTTTACTTGAACTATCAATTGAGGCTTCGCTATGAAAACACGCAACCATTCTAACTATTCGTCCAAAAATAGCATTTTCGAGTTTTTTTTTTCTTCTGTTTAATGCTTTCCAATTACATTGCATTTCTGTTGACTTAATACATGTTTTACACGTAATATTCATACTGACTTGCAAATCTTGTTATCATCATATAATCATCGAAATTTGTTTAGTTGGAACAAACACCCTGCTTTACCTCTTTCGCCCATATATTCAGGTTTTTTGCCAACATTATTGAGATTATTCGTTTCAAACTTCCATACTTTATGCTGTTTGCAAGAAATGAAATAAATGCAGTTGGTTCATTCATGCTACAGCCAGAGCCAGTTATCTTAAATTAATGCTATTATCTGATCTGTTGTGATAGTCGATAATGGAATCTTCGGTCAAGTTTATTTCACATCAGGTGCATTGAACGGATAATTAGTATTGATGAAGATAATCGTATTTTTTTTTCAATTTTGAATATTTCAATGATAACGTCATTGGTTTTCTGCAGACAAACGGCAAATTATATGTTTATTTCTTTTATACCCGTCTCAAGTGCTTCGGATTGATGTTTAACCTTCAAACCGTAAAATGTATTTTCTAACGTTGTTCGTAAAATGAGGGGAAACGTAACTTTGGGTGGTAATATTATTTCTGATTTAGCGTATGCAGATGGTCTGGTCCTGTTTGGCAGTTCTGAGCAAGAATTGCAAAACAGTATCAGTGACCTAGAAGTGGCTTGTACAAACTTTGGCATGACCATTAGTAGCTCAAACCCGTAGCACAAGTTATGCTTGTTGGTTAAGGTGACCAAACCGTACGGATTTTCGCGGGACACTATTCCGACTTGTAAGATTTTTTCGTGTGTCGGACGTAAGTTGTTGTTTACATACACCACAGGCCATAAGTTTGGATACCCCTATGAATGAATTTGGCCCAAAATTTTTAAATTTCAAACCGCTTGTCCAATTTCAACATGCTATACATCGTTGGAAAGGTCTCGGAGAGTACGTATCATTTTTGGTATTAAACATTAGAATCGGCCAGCTTTTGGCCAAGATATGGCTGATTGAAGATTTCGGCCAAAAATTACAAACGGTCATATCTTGGCCAAACGCCGGCCGTTTGATGTTTAATACCAAAAATCACATCTACTTTTCAAGACCTTTCCAATGGCGTATATAACTTTTTAATCCGATGGCCCGTTTAAGACTTCGATTTTGGCTCCCACAGCTCAAAGGCCAAAAGATGGCCATAGGCCGGCCAAATGTTATCTTCCAAATCATCCATTCGGTCAGAATTTCGATATATTTTCATATCCAATACTAAATTTCAAGTCAAAATGTTCAAAAAACTTAGAAATAAACGTTTCATAGGGGTATCCAAACTTATGGCCTGTGGTGTATATGGAAAAAGAAAGTTTCAAAGAAGTTTTTTGCTGGATTGGATTTTGTAAAAAAGCACTGTAGCCATATGGCTTCATGAACCAACTTTTCGTCATTTTCAGTACATTTTATTTTTACAAAATATTGCATCAGATGAAAAACCTCTAGACGAGGTTGAAATGGAGTGACGCTCCGTGCGTGGATTTACCACTCAAAATGACTGATATCATTTTGAGTGTCGCTTGGACGCTGTATTACTGGGAACGAAGTTCAAAAGTGTTTTTCGCATTCACTATTGTGAAAATTTATTTACAATAAGGAAAAATATCGAATTTTGAATTTAGTCTTCAAGTAAAGCTTTAAAGCGTTTTGCCGTCCAAAAGTCGTGACGCGATATTTTTCCTTATTGTAAATAAATTTTCACAATAGTGAATGCGAAAAACACTTTTGAACTTCGTTCCCAGTAATACAGCGTCCTAGCGTCACTAAAAATGATATCAGTCATTTTGAGTGGTAAATCCACGCACGGAGCGTCACTCCATTTTAACCTCGTCTAGAGGTTTTTCATCTGATATCACTAATTTTGTAAGGCTTTTTTTTTTGGAAAAAATACTTTTTTACCAGAAGTATGTCTATTTTAAGGTCTTATTATCAGGAAATTGCAATTTTCTGGGTAACACATTTGCATTCTAATTTCACAAGTTCTAGAGATTGCACTATCTAATTTCCACTACCATTGAAAAAGTCCCAATTTCCTCTAATTGCACCATAAAAAGAGTGTTGAAACGATTGTGGATTCTCATTATTTCATTTAAAAATATTAGTTCCCAACCACCAAAGCTCTGGAAAGTGCATTTTTTATGTATCCCCCGAACAAAAGTTCAATTTCATACATTCAGGTGCCAAAATGCCGGTTTTTGAACAAAATGACAACGAAATGGATATTCAAGTGTTCAAGGACTCCCATTATTTTCACGAAAAAATAGCAGTTTTCCAAGACCAAAATGTCGTCAGAGGTCTATTTCACGTGTTTTCCGAACAAAAACATCATTTCCAGTGAAAATAGAGCAAGTTGAAAAATTCACTTCAATCCGACCTATTTTTCGACCATGAAATGCCCTCAGATCGCATTGTGACCACTTTTAATCGATTGCTCGTCGAAAATTGAGCGGATATGGCCTTTCGTGAGCCTTTCCAGCCAGTCAATGCGTGTTTTCGACAGCAATTTCATCGTAGAATGCGACTCTTTTTACAAATTCCGTTCATTGATGAATTGCCTATGCCCAGAACTTCGAAATACGAATTTTCCCGGATATGTGTCATATGCCATTTTGTTGGTATGGTAGCCGGCTACAAACGCTCAGTTTTTGGTAAAAATTGTCGAACTCATTTTTGAGAAATCGCCTTTGGCGTGAAATTTAAGGGGGTCGATTTTTCATAAAAATCGACTTTTTTCTTTTATATCACATAAACATTGGCATGTGTGTATGGAACTTTTTGAAGGTATTCTCAAATAATTACGAGCTAAGTTTGCCCGATGGGTGTCTGAGTTGATCTAGTGTGCGAAATAAATACTTGAAAAAATCGTATACATGCAGGCTAGTGAAGCCATAGCCAGCTCTCCTGTAATGCAAATGTCAATCTAAGGACTGGTTTCGATGTGGTTCGACACTAGCTACAACTAAGGCATATGCGCATCGGAAACCGAAGAAGGTACGTACAGACGGACGGACGCACATCCAAATCAATACTTTCATAGAAAATCAAGATCAAAATGCCAATGCCCATAACTTTTTCGTTTTTGGACCAATCGGGGCACTTAGACCGGCGTTGGAAAGGTGGCGAGGAGGAGCTTCTCTTGGACACCTCAGACCAGGGGGTGGTAAGATATGGGTGAATGAATATTTGAAAATTCATCGAAATTTTTCAACCGCTATATTTTTGCCTAGACCACACTTTAGGCATGAGGTATATGGTGTTTCCGACTAATTGGGCCAAGACCTTTCCAACTGTGCCTAACATGCCGGGGCCCAAATAGTATCCTGAGAAAATAGCATACTTACTGTATATATACTCGTGACGCAAAAACTGGCACAGTTTATGGTGCGTCGACGCATCAGGACTACCGTCCTCCGTGATATTTTCCGAGTTTTTTTTTGTAGTACGTAATTCGATAGCTTGAACAAAAAATACATTGCTTATTATGGAGGCTAAATGGATGGATTTTAGTAAAGCTAAGTACACAGTTCCTCGTGAAATGAAAAAATTTCTCCGGTGAAATTTTCACCAGTGATCTTCGTATCAAGTTTTTTTATATTCAAATTGCAAGTATAATGATTTTTGATGAATAAAACAGTTAGCTGCTATCATTATCAACACAATACACCAATAAATTTGTGTTTTGAATTTATTCTTCTATATATTTCGGTCACAGCAAATTTTTTCACGGTCGTGAAATTTTTTTCTCGTGCATTTTGCACGCGAAAATTTTTTCACGACCGTGAAAAAAATTGTAGAGGCGAAAATAAATAGAAGAATAAATTCAAAACACAAATTTATTGATATGTTGTGTTGAAAATGATAGCAGCTAACTGTTTTATATATCAAAAATCATTATACTTGCAATTTGAATATAAAAAAACTTGATACAAAGATCACTGGTGAAAATTTCACCGGAGAAATTTTTTCATTTCACAAGGAACTGTGTACTTAGCTTAAGAGTGAAAATATCTTAGAATGACGGAATATTTCGAACTTTAATACGCTTTTCTGCTAATTTATCCAAACTCACCTCTTAAGTGGTAAATTAAAACCAATAAATATTTACACATCGAAATATCTCGAAAACGGCTGGGAAAATCGGAAAAATTGACCGTGGTGTCACTCTCTAGGGGGAATGTAGACACCCGGCTGGTTTGATGGCCCAAAGTTCAAATCCAGTGGATTCGGGCTGATCCATGGGTTCTCAGGATTTGGTCTTGAAATTACTATGAAACCAGAGATCGAAAACGGTTTGACGTTTCTCATACAAACCGATTTCAGAACGGTTTCACTGCTTTGCTCTCTGTTCATCGGAGCAAACCGTATCAAGCGGAACGTTCTGAGAATGGTTTGTATGAGCAACGTTCATGAGTGTTGTCACTGTGTTAGTATCGTACACTAATACACGTAAGCATAAACATAAACATTTCTGTGTGCCATACAAAACATTTTTCAGATCATTCCGAATGGTTTGATTTGTTCACACACTCAAACCAAATATTCGGTTTGGTTTGGTTTCGATCCCTGCTTGAAACCAAAGCGTATATCATAATGAATATTTCAATTTGAAATATGGAAATAAACCATTAATAGTTAAGGCTAACATAAAATATTTATTTATAAATTTCTGCCATTTTCTGGAAGACTTATTTTGACTTATGTCTGCATCAATACGTAATAATATTACGCCGATAATTTCTATGCAATTATAAAATTTTTCAAAGGACTAAATCCCGAAGATGATGCAAAATACGTTCTCGAAGATAAAACAGCAGCGAAAAGCAAAACCATCAAAGCCGAAATGGCGTTCATCAAATCGAACTTTGCGCGCCTTCCAGTTGCTATCACAAAACTTGGAGCAGAATGCGTAAATACGAGTGGAGACAGTTTGTAAGAAAATACTGTAAAAAATACAGTCTACTGAGAAATCTTCTTTGTACATGTATTTATATCCTTCTTCCAGTGCTCATGTAATTTTTTTCGTCATTCGCAACTCCAATAATACTCTCGATCCAAAATCGATGATACGACGTACCTATAGGGGGGAGACACGGAATTTTAAATGAGTAAAATTAGAACATTATTCAACAATAATAATAGGAAAATAGAAAAAATTTGTGAATTTGGTTTGCCAATGTTAACGCTTATGGACCATTGTTTATTGTTTGGAAAAAAGTCCCGTTAGGTCTTCCATATTGACAGTGCAATACGCTCTGCAACTGATTTTACTAGAAATATTAGCGACGTACGCATATAAATACCAGGCAGAAATCGTGCTGCACATTTTATACCACTTGATACAGTGCCGGCAAGCTCCCATCGTTTATCTGGTCTTTGTACAACCAAGGGTCCCCCAGAATCACCCTGCAAAAGATAAAACACACTCAAATTTAGAATCGTTTTGCGTGAATCGAAACAATTAGTCAACGAGATTCTGACTTTTCACGTTCAAATTTGGTTCTTTTTTCTATTTTATTTTAATGAGTATTGTTGTGATACACTCGTGCATGAATGATATTTGGCGATTTTAATAACGCAAGAATGATTTCTGCTCAAATCTTACTTCACATGAATCTTTTTCACCTTCATCATATCCTGCGCACAATGTTGACGGCAATATCATCTTGGTATAACCGAGTTTATGAATCATTTCCTGGCATTTGCTATTTTCAATTATTGGTACCTGAAGTGATTTATTATGTAATTGATATAGAATAAATCATCAATACCCCGGGTGGACGCGATAGGTTTTGATGAAAGCCTACATTCGTTCGATGAGGCTTTCATAGTTTTTATGTACATTTTAAATACTGAACGCCTAGGCGAAAGAAGTGAGAATAGCAATGAAAGCCAAGGCGTTCAGTATTTAAAATGTACATATAACACATCGGTCAATAAGTCCCGAGCCTAAGTAGGAAAACAACATTTTTTTGCCAAAATTCAATTTTATTCATCAACATAGTCCCCTTTTAGAGTGATACAATCATTCCAACGCCTTTCTAGCTTTTCGATACCAGTTTTGTAGAACGATTTGTCCTTGGCCTCAAAATAGGCTTCAGTTTCGGCAATCACCTCCTCATTCGAGCCATATCTTTTTCCCTGGAGCATTTTTTTGAGATCGGCAAAAAGCCAGTAGTCACTGGGGGCCAGATCTGGAGAATAAGCCGGGTGGGGAAGCAATTCAAAGCCCAATTCATGCAGTTTGGCCATCGTAACCATCGACTTGTGACACGGTGCATTGTCTTGGTGAAAGAGCACTTTTTTCCTTGCCATATGAGGCCTTTTTTTGGCGATTTCCTTCTTCAAACGCGTTAGCAATGCTATGTAATATTCACTATTGATGGTTCTTCCCTTTTCAAGATAGTCGATGAATATTATTCCGTGCGCATCCCAAAATACTGAGGCCATAACCTTGCCAGCTGACTTTTGTGTTTTTGGGCGCTTTGGTCGACTTCCACCGGCTTCTGTCCATTCAGCTGACTGCCGATTTGACTCCGGAGTGAAATGGTGGACCCAGGTTTCGTCCATGGTCACATAACGACGCAGAAACTCGTTCGGATTGCGCTTAAAAATGGTCAAACAGCTCTCCGAATCATCGACACGATTTTGTTTTTGTTCCGGTGTCAACAAACGCGGCACCCATTTCGAACACAGCTTTCTCATGCCCAAATGATCATGCAAAATTGTGTACACACTGCCTTTTGATATCTTTAGGATGTCAGCTATCTCCTGCAATTTCAGTTTGCGGTCGGCCATAATCATTTTGTTGATTTTTGTGATGTTTTCTGGAATAACTGCCTCATTTGGCCTACCAGAGCGTTCAGCATCATCGGTGTCCGTACGACCACGTTTGAAATCGGCAAACCATCGTTTGATGGTTGCAATTGATGGAGCAGAGCCCGGGTAACACTTTTGAAGCCATTCCTCAGCCTGAACGGTATTTTTACCCATTAAATAGCAATGATAAATCAACACACGAAATTGCTTTGAATCCATTGTTTTGAAAATTACAAAAGTAGCGTCACTTAAACCACTGTAACTAGGTAAATAATAGTCCAAATGTCATGAAATTTTGACAGTAATCTTTTGAAGGTTGGTACTTTCGAAAAATCATGTGGATATTTCATTAGTGGCGCCATACGGTGGTTAGGCTCGGGACTTATTGACCGATGTGTTAAATTATGGAAGCCCCATCGAACGAATGTAGGCTTTCATCAAAGCCTATCGCGTTCAACCGGGACATGAGCATTTTGAAATGCGTTCTCTCGTCAATTAAGAAAATGTAAATATTTCACGTGTTTTTACATCAACTTCTTGTAGAACAGTTGGAAAACGACCACCATATCTCAATCGTCCCCATCCACTGACTGTTGCAATGCGATCTGTGAAATCCGCACCGTGGACTGGCAAACAAATCGGAACTAATTTTTGTACGCAAAAATTAAGGTGAGAATTTCAACCGAGATTTGATTTCAACAAATTTCAACATCTTTCTTACCAATGTGTGTATCATACTGAATCGGTCTCTCCAATTTCAATAGCGCCAAATCGTTGTCGAATGTACGGTTATTGAATTCAGGATGGTATATAATTTCTTTCACTTTTATTGTAACTGATTTTTTTGGCTCTAAATCTTTAGAAAGGTCATACTCTCCGAATACTGCGACCAATACTCCATTTGGTCTATGGAAGAATATCCGAAAAAATCATGAATAAAATTGTTTCATTAAAATGCGAACGATATGGTGGAAAATGCATTCATACTCTGGTCTCCAGTGTGCTACAGTTAAGACGTAGCTGTCTGAGATCAACACTCCGCCGTATTTGTATTGAGTTACTGAACAATTTGGCGTTAGCTCACGAATTAAAACCTGCCATGGCCATGCACCAAACGTGGAATCCTTTCCACCAACGATTCTTCTCATTCGCATATGCGGTCGAACACCACACTCTGCAATAATGAACAAGTGATTGAGTGGAAGAGTGAGCATCGTGATCACGAATATTGATATTCAAAGATGTTATTAGGTTACAATGGGAAAATGAGAGGAGTGGTATTAGCAAATGGAAAATAAATGATACAAAATTGAGTAGTCGGGAATAAAAATGACTAAAGTTGAACCACTTATGGATAACCGTAACACAATATTCTTGATTTTGAAAAGTGCAACATAAATTCTCTTCGCTTGAAAGTGAATCGTAAAATATCTGTGGACTATAGAAATCGTGTTTCACTTTAATTGAAGCAAAAATGTTCAATACACTTTCAAGTCCATTGGAATGATGATTTATTGTAATGGTGGTTTTGGTTGTGATTTGGCTTCGGAGTGAAAACTGAGTGATAAGGAGCGCAAATTTCGATGTGCCGATAACACCATTGGATTGGGCTTTTTTAAACATTTTCTTTCGATTTTTGCCTGTTTGCGATCGTCTACATGGGAAGTTTGTATGAAATCCACGGAGAGAGAGCATTGCATTTAAAAGAAAAACTAACGAAAATTTCTGTTCAATGGACGTTGTTTCGATCCATTTTCACTTATAGCTGCTAATTCCCCTTCAAAATGACATGGAATTGACGGTGCTGATGTGGTTAACTCTTCTTTTTGTAGGTTCAAGACCGGTTGATCCGTTTCTGTTGCACAATTTGCCAAAAGAAAAAAACAATAATCTTCCCTTAATGTTGTCACCAAAATTCACTCTTGTTTCTTCAATAAACTTCGATTTAAACTTTTAAATATGATTTTACGGTCTAACAATTTACCTCTTTCAGCTCTAACCAAAATAACAAGGAAAAAAGTCAAGATTGTCGAAAGGAACTTCATAATTTACTCTAAAGTTTGAACTGTTTCTTATTAATTAATACTAAATATTATTTTTAATCAATTGAACTTCGAATTGGTTGAGAACTTGTTCGATTTGAATAAAAACAAAGGCGATTGAACCACGAGCAGATTGGAAAGCCTAAGAATCGAACCTCGTTCAAGAAACGTTCAAGAACGACTGATCTAAAAATAGTTTTACTTGTTATTCTATTTACCAAAATCTGGGAATTCCACCTGACCAGTGTAGAAGTGGTTCTTTGTTATGTAAGAAATGCACCGGCTACAGAAGAAACTTAAACGAAGCAGAGAGATGTGTGAATTAAAAAAGACATTATACACATTGCTTGTTTGCTTGTAGAAGTGCCGTCATTATGGGACGTGTTAGAGATCTGCAATATATAATCGTGATACCACGGGATATACCGGTTCCGATATTTCAATATAAGAATTCTCTCGTGTTGAAACAAGTTACAAAAAATGCTTTTTGAGATCTTCTGGTTCTCTTTCTTCTTTCTCTACATAACATGATGAGTTTAGCATCCTCGTCTACTACCATTGATTTTACATGTAAAATAACAAGAAACGACAAAAGTGACCTCTCGTAGCGGCACAGTTGAAACTAACGAAACAAACACAATTGAACATGTCATTTTCATGTTCAGTGTTGGTTCTGTTGTTTGCCGTATAGCCGGAGAGAGATGTCTACAGCTTAGTGGCGTTGAATGACATTCAACACCCATGGAGTTTAGTGATGTAAACTGATGAATTACCTTTTAACGGCCAAATCCGCGTTCCATTGAGGTACAAACGATATTAATGGCTCAATATAAACATATTTCGCGATTTAAAGAAATGGCAAGTATTCGTATTTTGAGTTTGTATATTTACTACTTAGGGTGATAACGCACACATAATACGTACAGTGCCGTGCAAAATAAAAATATCATACAAAAACCTGGGTTGATTGACCCAAATTGAACTTGATTTTTCACACTCAAACATGGATAGATATTATCATTTTTATCAATAACAGTCATTCTTGGGCTTTTGTCACTATCAATTCAGTTATCACTGCGGTCCTTCTGAGTAATGTATATATACAAATATTGTTGTATATGTCACAGGCGTATTATAGTACCATGATTCAAAAACAAAGTTCCCAAAATGACGTGTACTGTGATCAAGATTCTTTTTGGCAAATTGGCAACGAATTTGCGAATTCCAATGAAGCTTTTGCGATGATTTTCGGAAAGAATTCCATCATTTATTCTGTTTCAGTTGATTTTTGTAATTCCACCAGATCAGTGTACTACGTTGCATACGTTCTCAAATTGAATGAAGTATAATTTTCGTGCATTAATTATTTCCTGTTGCTTTCCATATCCCCAAATGGTTCTAAAAGGTTGAAGATTCCATTCGAAAAGATTGGAGTTTCGAGGAAAATTGAAAATCATCAAAATGGAAATCAAATTGGGTGCCGTGGTTCAATGTGCCATTGCATCGCCGTCAGTCCTAAGAATTTCATTTATTTTATTTTTTGGAACCATATTTTGCCAACCACATTTAGCATAGTTGATCAAAATGAATGAATATCCAGCATTTCTTGGTAACTGAGTTTGAGCGTTTGGAAGCATGCTAAAAATTATTTTTCAGACAATTTGGCTCAAACAGATGATTTATTACCTAATCATAGCTACGTCATTTGAACATTTCTGCATGGCATCCTTAGGTGAATAAACTACTTTTGGAAACATAACAACACTTTATTTTGAATGCGTTCATTGGTCGAGGGTATTTCCAGGGTATAAACCTCGATGCAGTTCCAAAGAGGTGTTCAATTTCAGCGGTCATCGGTGTCCCAATTCATGTGGAGAAAATTTTAAATCAAAACGAAGAAAATACACGCAAAACACTTGAACTTTTTTTTCACTCGAATCGTAAAGCTGTTCGTAAAACACAAAAGCAAATTCGTAAAAAAATTTAAAGACATCCATATGGAGCTCGTTTGATATGGTTGCCCGTTTTTAGGGTGATTTGACAGTATTTTGAAGCAGAGCTTAAAATAAGAGTGAATAAATTCCAAAATGGTGAATCAAGATTTGAAAATGTTAATCAAAAAACGGTGAATTAAGAATTCACCAATAAAACATGGATTTAATTTCACTTTTTGAAAAATTTCGCGACTAAGCGCGACGTTCAAACGATAAATATATTTGATGTGATGAATATTACGGTTTCAACCGGTTAATTTGAATTTGGCCGCTGTATTGTTTCCATTACAATTGCTTAAATGGCTACTGTGAATTGAATTACAACATAGGCGCACGCTAAAGCTAATTTCATGCATATTTTTTCCAGTGTATTGAAATGACAGCTCAGAGAGAAATTACATATATGAGCGCACGGAATCCGTTCCACACACAAAAAAGAATTCATACATTTGCACATTTTGACTCAGACAATGTACGTGTCTGAGCTCAGCTAGCTATCTGAATGCGTTCAATCTGATTCAGCCGCTGACTAACGCACTGAACAGTGCGCGTTCAATGTGCTCGTAACACGCATCGCTCAGGGTGTTTATGTGGAATGTCATTTACTTTGAGTGTTTGAGTAGCACACACAACTGTCAAAACAGAATTTCTTGTTTGTGAAGCGCATCAATAAATCGATTTCTTCTTTGAATATTTTTTTCAGTATTTTATCTGCACAAAATTGTTTTTTTTCTGTTGATTTTCTGCCGAATCTCCGAAATTTATTGCAACGAGTGTCAACAAAAAGGAAATTTGTGATGAAATATCAAATAAAAAGCAGAACAACAAACATCGGCTGATGTGGACCACTTATTAGAATCGAATAAAATGATTTTGTCGTAGTTTCTAATTGTACATTGACTGTTCCAATGAACAATCGGATTATTTTTCGACGAATTTTTTCTGACTGTCAGTCGAATGTGCAAAACGATACAAAAGTTCGTTGGTGTATGTGTCAAAGAGAATGATTCAAAGTACCATTTCGCGCGTAATGAACGAATTCTCTATATTGAATCGCACAATCATAAATCCATTTCGATGGACCAACTTTTATTTATTTAAACTTGAAACGTCACCGTATCGAAAATGTGCTACCATAGTGAAACTTTCACATATACAAGTATTATTATAGAGAATTCGTTCATTACGCGCGAAAGCACTGGATTTTTTTTTTCACTACGGGTGTACAGTGTATGGTGTACGCACCTATAACAATGCAGACAAAAATTGATGTAAATTGATCCTTTCAAGGTCGGGACTGGCGATTTCCTAAACTTAATGGTTAAGTTCAATACATGATAATTCCGTTTCAAAGAGTCATTTTAAATTCATTGCAACAGTGCGAAAATTCATGTGTGTACTCTGCAGTGAAAAAACAACTTGTCAGTGAAAAAAATGCGCGAAAAAAGCGTTATTAAGATTGCATCTTAATAATATGTTATTAATTGAGTTAATAAATCCATCTTAATAATATGTTATTATTATAGTTAATAAAATGTTATTACCGCCGAATCTTAGGATTTATTAAGATAACACGCGATATAACGCATAGCATATTATGTTATTATTATGCTGAATCTTAATAACGTTATTATCATGTTATGTTGGACCAATATATCGGCCGTTATTATTATGTTATTAAGTATAGTTAATAATATGTTATTGCCTGTAAATCTGTATTTTGCATACTGTATGCAATACTATTGTAACTATAAATAGGACATACAGTATGCAAAATGTTTCATTCTATTCTAGCAGAACTATGTTGAAATATTTTATGTGCAGTATGCGGTGTGCGCTTGTGTGTTTTTTTGTCAATTCGCTGATTTTTACACCCCTGTGGATTTTGATTTTGCCTCCCCTTTTCGATTTCAGCAAATTGTGAATCAAAGAAAATCCTTATTTTAAGCTCTGTTTTGAAGAATAATTGAATTGAATAACGGTCAAAATATTTATAACATTTTGATTCACAAAATATAGTGCATTTTTTCGTCTTGTTTTATTTTGCTTCGTTTTCAAACATCGATAAGGGACATTCTGTCGCAGTTGAATCCATTGGAATGATATTTCATTCATAGGGGAAAGTGGGGAATTATAACACATGGGGAATTGTGATACAGATCAATTTTTCCGCCAAATGAAATGATTGACAGATCCAAACAACTGTCACTGTTTTGTTATAGCATAGCCTCACTTTTTCATTAGTACTCGATACATGTGCACGCAAAACACCGTCTGAGCGATCGCATCTTTATTTTGGACAAAATCATATATTTTTTGAGTTTTGCTATCTGCATTGGATTCAAGACATTTTGCGAGGATTCAAATCAGGTAAATATGTTTTTTGTTATCGTGTGGCAATTATATTTCGCCTCGCAAAAGGAATTTTGCATAAATATTGTTCGAGTGAGTCACGCGAGCACATGTT